TTTTTTTCCTTGAGACAGGGTCTCCTGTACCTCCAGCTGGCCTGGAACATACTGTATAGACCAAATGGCCTCCATCTCAGAGATCCACCTGCCTCTGCCTCCCTAAAGGTGTCTGTCTCTGTATGTCTTATATCTGTTTTGAGCCTCATTACCTCTTTGAGACAGGATCTCACTGTATATAACCCTGGCTAGCCTAAAACTCACTACATAGACCAATCTGGTTTTGAACTCAACAGCAATTAGCCTGCCTCTACCTCCCGCGTGCTGGAATCAAAGGTGTGTACCACCATACCTGGCCTGACTTCTCATTTTATTTTTTAAAAAACTCATTGTGAGGGCTAGAGCACTGGCTGTTCTTGCAGAGGATCTAGGTTCCATTCCCAGCACCCACAGGGCGGTTAACTGTAACTCCAGTTACAGGGGATCTGATGCCCTCTTCTGAACTCTATGGTTATTGCATGACACATATATGCAGGCAATACACTCATACACAGAAAATGTAATTTATTGTGTCACTGTGATTGAGGGCTTCCCAGTACCTGAGCAGCTCACTTTCCAGGCGCTGATTTTACAAACACCTTCTATGAGCTGAGCCGCTTCCCAGCTGAGCCATCAGACCTGGCGGAGTTCCTGCCTAGGCTCACCTCCCAGTGTGCCTCTCTGGAAGAACTGAAGCTTGCCTTCCGACCCCAGATGGATCCACGGTGAGTGTTTTCTTGGACTTTGTTTTCAGAAGGGAAGAAACAGAAGGGGATGTTGGAGAGCCAGTGGGAGTCCTTCACAGGTACCTGAGGCCCAGGTAGCTCTACCCTACTGGACACGAAGGGTAGCCAGATCATATCTCTGTGGCATTGAGGACAGGGATGCTGACATGGTTGGGAAGCAGGGTACAGCTGACTTGATGAAGGACTGTAGTGGATTTCCCAGATGCCAAGCAGTCTATACCTTACCATACCATATGCAAGGTGTGCACAACTGTATCCAATGTGCTGCTCACATATAAGGTACATGGAAATGTTGATAGTGGCTTCCAAATGACCCACAGGCTGGTCATGCAAAAAGGAATTTAGTGGGGAATAGTCAGTGACCGTCCTACAAGCATTAAACTCTGGGGGCCAGTGACCATCAAAAATGGTACTTGTTGGGGATTCGGTAGAGACCACCCCTGTAGATCAGTGTCCCTGCTTTCCCCAACTGCTTGAAATGTTTGTCATGTGGCCTGCCCACCAAGCAGCATTAAACAGGGTAAGGTCACTTACTGCCCCTTGCTGAAGTGCTGCCACACCACCCCTCCCTGCAGGCAGCTGTCCATGATGCTGATGCTTGCACAGTCAAATCCACAGCTCTTTGCACTCATCGGCTCCCAGGCAAATGTCACAAAGGAGCTAGAGCGTGTAGAACAGCAGTCATGGCTAGAACAGCTGAGCTCTGCTGAGCTGCAGAGCAAGAACACAGACCACTGGGTGGCCTGGCTACAGGAGTACAGGTGAGCAGCATCCAGAGTCATCTCTTCTGGCTCCTTGGTGTGATGGCCATCTTCTGAGATAGCTGTGGTTGGCTGAACTGGGGAGCGGACGAGTGCTAGGGGGCTGTTCTTGCTGGGAAAGTCAAGCTGGGATGTGGTTCCAGAGCCCGGCTGGACAAGGACAAAGAAGGTGTTGGAGATACTGCTGCTTGGCAGGCAGAGCGCCTGCGCATCATGCATGCCAACAACCCCAAGTATGTCCTGAGGAACTACATTGCACAGAATGCCATTGAGGCTGCTGAAAATGGAGATTTTGCAGAGGCAAGCATACCCGTGTCTGTTCTGTCCTGTGGAGGGAGGGCTGGCATTTGATGCCCCTCACTCAGCTCTCCTCACTTGGTTCTCCTCTAGGTGCGGCGCATCCTGAAGCTGCTGGAGTCTCCTTACTATATTGAAGGGGAGACCACTGAGGCCACAAGCCCTGAGGCAGCAGCAAGGACCACTGGTGACCAGTATTCCTACAGCAGCAGGCCACCCCTCTGGGCAGCAGAACTCTGTGTAACATGATCCTCATAGTGGCCTCAGTATTCTCCACATGCCTGGAGTCTCTGGAGGGCCCCCCAACTGATGCTGCTGAGTTGCTGAGACCGCTGGGCTGCTTTGCCCTCCAGTCTCTCCATGACGGCAGAGACCTCCAGTCAGGATCTGACCCATCTCTGTCTGATACCAGCTCACTAGCACCATCCTGGCTTATCACTCAACTTGCCCCCAGCATAAGCTGCTTCATGCTTGCGAGTGATACAGTCAGGGTAAGCCTTGTGACCTGTCTGTGCACCTTGCCCAAGGGCAGGGGCTGGCTTGGCCCCTGCCGAATCTCCCAAGCCTCTAAATAAACCAGCAACTTTTTCAGGCCTGTTTCCATGATCACTGCCTACCTCCCTGATCCCAGCCCCTGCCCCAGATAGGTCAAACTGGGATGTACTACCATGGTCCTGAATGCCCTCAGGAGTCCTGATAGTAGTTGTTGAAGTTGATACGAAGCAGGAAGTCCTCCAGGTGGGGCTGGTAGCCACGATTCACCAGCTTGGTCACCACTAGAGAGGAATCCAGGTCTCAGGCTTCCACCCATCTGTGCCTGGCCACCCCAGTGTCCCCGTCCAGCAGGAGGGCTCACCTTTGAAGAGGAAGTGGGAATAGTACTTGAAGGTGCTGTAGGACTGCTGCATGAGCGCAAAGTTGGGGTGCTCAGCTCCATGGGGGCCACTAGCTGGACCCCAGGCCTGGGAGATGAGCTGGCTGCGGAATTTGAGCACCAGGCTGAAGATGCTGTGGATGATGTTCATGACGGGTGCTGCCTTCTCTGTCAGTAGGCCTCTAGGGGAGGGTAAAGCTGCTCAGTAGACCACCTAGCCTGACCAGGGCATGCCCAGGTCCAGGTGCCTACCTCACCTGAAAACAGCCCTGTGCAGGTAATCCGCATGGGCCCGTTGGATCTCCTCCAGGTCACCCACTACAGCTAGCCGGGCCCTAAACTCACACCAGCTGACATGGAGGATCTGGTTGGCGATGTAGCCCTGGATGACCTTCACAAAATGCTGCATCTCATGCTTAAACAGCTGCAGCTGACGGAACTGCACTGAGCCGGCTGTGTGGCTCACCAGAGCTGGTGGAAAACAGAGAGTGAGCAGCAGCGTGGAGCCACACATAGGGTGGGATTAGGCCAGATCTCACCTGTGCGCTTGAGGTGGAAGCAGACATCCTTGAGTGTCCACATCATAAGCTTCAACTGCAGCAGGAAGGAGAAGATGCCACTGTACTTGCTCAGGCAGCTCTCGGTGATGACAATGTTGAGAGGCCAGTCGACCTGCTCAGGAAGCCATGCTTAGCATCTGCAACCACAGGACAGGCCTCCCCATACGCCCATGACAGGACACTGCTGACCTTGTACCTGAGCTCCAGGCAGCTCAACACATCTGGGGCATTGGGGGCAAACACTTCAGGCAGGTACTTGAGGGCAAAGGACAGGTTGGTAGCATGTGGAGTGTCCCCATGGAGGCTGTATTGCAGCGCCTTACTGAGGATGCTGTTGAGGACCAGTGGGTTGAGCAGCTCCCCAGGTGTTTGCCCAGCCCCTAGCTAAAGAAGGAAAAAGATACTATTCCAAGGAGTCCAAAGCTTGGGCCTGGCCCCTCCCTACTTGCCAGTGTCCAGCACCCCAACTTCTGCCCAAGGAACAGCCACTAGGCTGCTAGAGGCTATGGCATATCTATCTGGGTACTAGCCAGGGTAGACCTGGAGTCAGCACCCAGCCTCATTATATCCATGGTGCCTCTGGACATCAGCCCCACCTTAACTCGATGTCTTAAGAGTTACCTTCTCGAAGAGCAAGTCACTAAGGGACTGGGCAAACTCGCCATCTTCCATCAGCAGGAAGTGCCTCAGTGCTTCAAAGTGTGCATCCAGGTGCAGCTCCACGAAAAAGTAGTCAACTGCGGCTTTGTTCACCAAGGAGACACTGGCAGGAGGGAGCCTGGAGTCAGGGTGGTGGGCAGAAGTGGGCAGGTAGGTGTAGCTGGGCAAGTGGCAGCACTCACTGGGCAGCCAGAGGTGCTGTGAGGGAACGTTTCATAAGCACAGGCAGCGTCAGCAGCTCACTAAGCTGCACCGCAGTCTCATCCACTGCTGACTGGATCTGAGGGTCCACAGGGAAGGCAAAGGCCCGGGGAAGCATGTGGTGTACCAAGTGGGCAACAGGAGGCTCTGCTGTGAGGAACAAAACAGGACTGTTGCTGAAGCTTAGGAATATGCTGGTGTAGAATCTCCCATATCCCCCCCTTACATGCCTGCTGTAGCTGGCCCACTTACACATGGACTCATAGTTGTCTGGGTACTGCTCCAGGTGGTACAGCCTTGTGAGGTCTGCCAAGTAGGCCTGTTCCTTGCCCCAGTGTGTGGCCTCAGTCTCTGTGTCTGACACCTCCTCAATAGGGCCTGGGCTGTTTGGGGCAGCTGTGCCTTCCTGAAAAGAGGCCAATAACTGCTACCCACCCAGCACACTACTCCCTAGGTCCCCCTTTGTGTTGAAAAGGAAGGAAGTGGGCATGTGGGACCCCCAACATGGTGACCATCCCTGCATGCTCCCCTGACCTGTGAGCTTGGAGGCCAACGTGGGGAGAGGTCTTCAGTGTTACCACGCCTCTCTTGGTCTGAATAGATATAAATGGGTAGGAGAGTTCTCAGTGCTCAGAACCTGCTTAAGACGGGCTACCCCAGACAACCCCTCCATGTTCCAGCAGCTGTCCTGGCTGACAGACAAGGAGGACAGCTTGATGCACCTCATCTGCCATCCAGGCTGTGGTCATGCAGCCCCACCCACTCCCCTCTGACCTGTCTCTTTGGGTACGCCATTTCCCAGAGTGCTAGCCTCAGCCACGACAGGGTTCTTGGTCTGCAGGCTACCTTCCTCTCTCCTGCTTGGGCTAGGGGAACAAATGGTAGGTTCCATTTCTCCAGGCAGCTGTGGCCCATATTCCAGGGCTGGACTTTGTGCTTCCAGGCTAAGGCTTGACTGGGATACAGAGTCAAGAGAGCTCTGGGGGGGTGTAGGTAGGTCAGGCTCCACCTCCAGAATCATAGGACACTGAGAAGTATGTCCACATGGTTGAGGAGCCATGCCCGACACATTTGCCCCAACCTTGATGCTGGCATCTGACACATGTCCATGAACATTCCATCGTGGCCGAGAAGGAGGCACATCTGACACATTCGCCCCAACCTTGATGCTGGCATCTGACACGTGTCCGTGAACATTCCACCGTGGCCGAGCAGGAGCCACATCTGACACGTTCTCCCCAATCTTGATGCTGGCATCTGACACGTGTCCGTGAACATTCCACCGTGGCCGAGAAGGAGCCACATCTGACACATTCGCCCCAACCTTGATGCTGGCATCTGACACGTGTCCATGAACATTCCACCGTGGCCGAGTAGGAGCCACATCTGACACATTCGCCCCAACCTTGATGCTGGCATCTGACACGTGTCCATGAACATTCCACCGTGGCCGAGAAGGAGCCACATCTGACACGTTCTCCCCAATCTTGATGCTGGCATCTGACACGTGTCCGTGAACATTCCACCGTGGCCGAGAAGGAGCCACGTCTGACACATTCTCCCCAACCTTGATGCTGGAATCTGAGACATGTCTGGAGATGCTCCATGGTTGCTGGCAAGAAGCCATTCCAGAAGCATGACTATCTATGAGGCTGGCAGTCCCTGACAGGTGTTCAAGGAGCTGTCCCACCTGCCAACAGCTCCCTTCCTCAGGAGCAACATGGGCACCCAGCTTCATGTCTATGTCCCCCAATAGATGCTGCTTTTCAGTGCTCAAGCTGCCCTGGACATCCTGGAGGGGCCCTAGTGAAGGAGCTGGCCTCAGGATGGTATTGAAATCATACTCTGGCTGAATAGGCTGGGGGTCAGCTTCTATCAGAGCCACCCCAGGGGTCACAGGAGGCAGGTCTGAGCAGATGGTCTGTAGTGCCACCTCTAAGCACAGAGTCCCACTGGCACCCACAGGCTGTTCAGCCCGAGGGTCTATGGGCAGGAAATCCGTGATGCTCAAGCCAGCAGAGAATGGCCCAGCTCCCTCTGCTGCAGACGTGAGGGCCTGTGGTGTTGGTGTATTTGATGGGTTTGGACAATCCCAATGTTGCTCTGTGGACCCCAGATCACTGCTACAGTCTTCATCTGCTTGCTCAGGACCTGAAGATGTGATCTGAAACACAGTGCACATTGGACTCCTCCAGCCAGCTAACCCTGTCTCCCTAAGTCAAACTCAGCAACAGTGGTCAACACTTGTTAAGTGCTGAGGGACATAAGGACAGCCAGGTCAGAGGACTAGCTCAGAGCCTCAGCAGGGGACCTAAGATCCTGCCGCAGTCCCTTACCTGGGAGCATGTGCTTGGCAGGACACTTGATGGTTCCTGGGGCTGGCAAGTCTCCATGTCTCTCAGCATCTCCTGAAATTCAAGCCAACAGGAAAAGAGGCAGCAGCTTTATGGAGTAACCAGCAGAACTGGCACACAGCACAGCCTCTATACAGTACCCATCATATAGATGCCACCAGCCCTGCTGCCCACTCACACTACCTAGGCTTGGCTGAGAGCCTGAGCCTCAACAAGTGCCAGCTCCTTACCATCTGCACCCTTAAAGCCCAGCTGGATGAGATGTGCGCACAGCACTAGAGGTGCCAGCTAACACTGCTGCCATACCTGAATGCGCTTCTGGTCTTCTAGGAGAAAACAAAGCCGTGCACTTTCTAGCCGGTGCCTTTGGATTCTCCACAATGCCTTCTGCTCCCGACGAGCTGCCTCTGCAGACAACTTGCTATAATGGTCAACCAGCGCCTGCCTAAAGCCACATCCAAAGAAGACATGGTCACCATAAACATTTTGCACCATCTGGTGGGCATCCTCAGGCTCTTCTCCAAGCAGGCTCCCTCCCCAGGCTCCTATCCACCATCTTCCCCACTGCAGACTGGGCTCACAGAGCAGGCCTTGCTGCCCACCAGACTGAAGCTTCACAAGACAGGTGCCCACATAGGACTTGGCAACTGACTATTGGACAAATATCAGGAGATAATACAAGGCATGATGCAAGAGAACAAGCAGATGGCTGAGGCCCAGTAGCCATCTTCCCAACCTACAAGTTCAAACCCCAGAAAAGAGACTGACACAAAAGAACGCAACCAGTACAAACCCAGGAATTCCGAGCCTCTAACCAATGGGCACCTGAGCTTATACTTATATTGACCATTTCCAATTTAGCTGCCATAGGTCAGAAACATGGTCTCTATGCCTGGTTTTATTTTGTATGAACAGACCACTGACTCAAATGCGTATAAATACATATCTAGCACATTCAAGAGGAAAACCCATCAGTTAGTTGCTCTGGAATAGCTGTGCTTATAATAGCACAATGCAAGATATGGTCAGTCCCTCCTATAAAGAACGTCTACTAAAACACTACACCAATTTATAGGACAGGTAATGACACCACAAGGAAACAGACACAAAAACTATGCTAAATGAGCAGCTATCTCTCTGTTGAACCAGGAACAGGTTTAAAAGAAACAGGTAAGATAGAGCCGGGTGTGGTGGCGTACACCTGTAATCCCAGCACTCGGGAGGCAGAGGCAGGCAGATCTCTGTGAGTTCAAGGCCAACCTGGTCTAAAAAGTGAGTTCCAGGCCAACTGGGGCTACAGGGAGACCCTGTCTCAAAAAAAGAAAGAAAGAAAGAGTTAAGATAAACAGCTCAGTTGGGTGTGGTGGTACAGCCTTGAGTCCCAGCACTCAGGAAGCAGAGGCAGATGGATCTTTGTGAGTTCAAGCCCAGCCTAGTCTACATAGGAAGCTCCAGGCCATCTGAGGTTACAGGGAGACTCTGTCTCAAAAAGACCAAAAAAAAAAAGATAAAACAGCTCAGGGGCTGAGTACTAGCTGCCCACATCAGGCAGCTTACAACTGGCTATAACTCCAGCTCCAGAGCATCTGATACCCTCTTCTGGCTTCCTTGGGCATCATCACACATGCAACATATACACATTAAAAAGAAGATAAACAGAACAGGTGTGGTGGCGTATACCTATACCACAGCACTAGGGAGGCTGAGACAGGAGTGCTGCAAATTCGGGCTCCGCATGGTGGCGCACACTTTTAATCTGAGCACTCAGGAGGCAGAGGCAGGCGGATCTCTGTGAGTTCAAGGCCAGCCTGGTCTACATAGTTAAATTCCAGGACAGCTGGGGCTACAGGGAGACCCTGTCTCAAAAAGACCGAAAAAAAAAAAAAAAAAAGGAGTACTGCAAATTCAAGGCCAGCCGGCCACACAGCAAGATTCTGGGGATGTAGTTCAATCAGGAGTATTTACCATTATGTGCACAAGGCTCAAGGTTTGTTTCATAGCACCACAAAATAAGTAAGATTAACAAAGACAGGACACCAAACACACTGTGTAGACTATGGCCAGATCCCCGTCTACACAAACCACCCACAAGACACTTCAGGGCCACTGATGATACCAGAGTATAGCTCTAACCCTAACCCAGGAGAACATCCTGGTCAAGCACACAAGCCTTTTTGCCTTGACATATATCTGTGATTTTTCAAATTAAAAAGTAAATTAGGCCAGGCATGGTGGTACATGCCTTTAATCCCAGCATTTGGGAGGCAGAGACAGGCAGCTCTCTGTGAGTTCAAGGCCAGCCTGGTCTACATAGTGAGTTCCAGGACAGCTGGGGCTACAGGAAGACCCTGTCTCAAAAAGACCAAAAAAAAAGTAAATTAATGGATTGGGGATGTCGCTTAGTGGTGGACACTTGCCTAGCAAGCTTGGGGCCTTGGGTTTGATCCCCAGCATTGAAGAAAAAATAACAAAATAACCATCACTATTAGGATTAAATCCACACTGTTGAGACCTACAGCCACACAGCCCTACCTGGCCTTCCTCTCCAACTCCTCCTCCAGGGCCTTCAGCCTCTTTTCCCGGTCTCGGAGCTCTCGGGCATAACTGAAATCATCATCCAGCTCCTCCTGTCTGGCCGCCAGGCGTCGCTACACAACACACACAGCCTCACTTACAAAATCAAGATTACAGAAGCCAGAACCACCCAGGGCCCAGACCACCCACCTCCTGATCCTTCACAAACTGTTCCTTTAGGCGCTGAAACTGCTCTCGCTTCCGGGTGTCCGCAGCCCTCTGTTCTGACATCTGCCGGTCTACAAAAGAAGGTGAGATGCAGAGGTGGTTGTAGGGAGCCCAGCAGGAGCCCCAAGCAATGCAGAGAGGAGAGAAGATCTGGAGCCTCACTCACCACTCAGCTCACTCAAGACCCTGGATGCTGCTTCCCGGGCATGGATGATTAATTCTTGCTTTGCAATTTCCATACGCAATTCCTATAAGATAATATACAAACATTTTAATGCTCTGACCCTTCCCCTAGCGGGAGAGAGTTGGCTGTCTAGAACACCCTGTCATTTTCTGGTCATTGTTAACAGCTACTCCTAAACCGACACAGTAAGCAGGTGATGCTCCACCTGAGGCCGGGAAGGCAGGGAGACTTGATTTGGAACAGTGATGATGAGATGGCTACAAACTATGTATCTAGAGAGGACTGACGGGTTCCTGGGCCTTCTCCGTTCCAGAGTGTGCCCTGGCATGGATCTTCTCCATGGTCCACTAGGCACAAGGCCAGGAAAATTCCTTGGAATTGGCACTGACCCACCATTAATCTCTCCTCCCAGAGTACACTAGAGAATTATGGCCCTGCTTCCAGGCACACCAATTGTTTATAAAGACCACTCGAATGGAAAGAACCTTGGGCCCTACTGCCCAGAACTTCCAAACGGAGTCAACCATGTTGGCAAAAACCTGGGGCACAAGTGAGGCCACCCAGAGATGGAAAAGAGACAACAGAGCCCCTGTCTGGGGCATCTGTCTCTAGATTTGTTCTGATCTCCCCTGGCACATAGCCAAGGATCTGCATGTTCCCACCCAGACATACCACCAGGACAAAGACACCAGGAAGAGCCACTGTCCCTTACATGCCCCACATTCAGCACTTAGTCCCATCAACCCAGAACCCCGGGAAGTGAAGAGAGGATCAGAGAAAACTCCAAGGCCGTCAACCAAGCACCTTCTCCTCTTTGCTGATAGAGCTGTGACGGGCAATTCTCTCCATCCGCCCCACATACACGGCACAGTCTTTCTCAATCTCTTTCAATTCCTCAAGGGAGAAAATCACCGAGATGCGTGGGACAGGGATGTCAGACCAACAAAGGTAGTGCTGTCAAAGAGGGAGAACTTCGATGAGTACCATGGGTGGCTAGGGCCCTGTGTTTTCAGTGATGTGTATGGATGGAAATCTTTTTCTTGGAAAGTTCATTTCTAAATCTGGGAGCAGCTGACGCCCTTGAAAGCTCTGAAGAGCCAAGTATCACACCTCTGCAGCCATCACCCCCCAGAAGAGCCTTCAGAAACAAAGAAGCCTGGTGGTATCTTCTGTTTCCCACACAGAGGAATACAGCTACAAGCACATCAGACCTACCAATCAGACAAAATCCCTGGAGAGATCTGGCTGCCCATCTCTCTTCCCACACAAGCCCCCACCCAGCTGTGTACAGCTAGCAAGACCCTCTTACCCGGGGACAGCAGAGCTTTAGCAGGTTGATGGTCTTCCCACAGACATACACATCATGGGCAATGTGCTTCAGGAACACAGGAACACAGTCCTCCACCTCCTTGGAAATGAGTACATAGCCATGGGTCCAGTAAAACTTATCTAACATGGGATAGAACATGAAGGCCTTCAGTTGAGATAGCCCCGACTCCACTCAGAAAGCCCAGTCAAGCACCCCGTAGCTACTTACCTCTGAAGCTGAGGTACTCATGGTTCACTTGGATCATGAACTCCCCATAAATATCTCTGAAGACTCCACTGTACACCCAATCGTGGATGAACCTATGGAGCAGTGAGGTGCTGGGGGTAGGTAAGCTAGGCAGGTATGGGTTACTGCAGGAAGGGTCTGGTAAATACACAGGGCTAACAAGTAAGCATGGCCAGCCATGGGGTAGGTGAGGACAGCCAGGTGGACATTGCCAGCTATGGGTAGGCAACCCATTTATAGATGAGCCCCAGTACTCAGAGGGTCTTAGACAAGAAAAACTCAAACACCTGCTTGGTCTGAGTACAGGCCTCCCCTATCCACTGTGGTGAACCCAGGCAAGGCGAGCATAGGCCACCTGCCACTCACTGTGTGTAGGGCTCACAGCTGGTCTTCAGCAAGGACAGCAGCACAGGATAGTGCTCATTACTGCAGTTATCCAGTGCCTCCTGGTAGAGGTAAGACAGCAGCTTCACTCCCTATAGACAGAAGAGACAGGATGGGTACACTGTCATTGCAGCACATGGTGCACTGTCTTAGCTAGGCAATAGGCCCAGCAGACAGACCACACCACTGAACCTGATTGATACAAATGCACAACTCAAGAGAAACATATAGACAAACACTGAGGAAAGGAGAGAGGACTCACAGTGGGGAACACAGCCCTGGGCTCGCCTCCATTGGCCAGGGGTACAGTGCCAACACCACAGAGCTCAGCCAGGTACCTAGATCAAGTGACAGGAGCTCAGGGTCTCAGGGTTCAATCAGACCAAGAGAGCCAAACAGTCATTTCCCCCTAAGTGACTGGTCCACCCAGGCTTTAAAAATTGCTTGCTCCCCAACTAACCAGACCTGAGCATCCTACTGAATCCCTGCCTGGCATTGTGTTCTGTTCTGTCCTCCTAAATGGCAGTAACATATCCACACTCAGTGGGTGGGCCCACTTCCTCACCTCACCAAACCTACGACTTTTTTACCCTATACTTGTGGCTGAAAGGGGTTTCCTCCTGTCTAGTCCAGGTCACCACCCACTCTGACGAATATGACCACCTAACCCTAACCCTTTATGGACCCCTCAACCGTCTACACCACTGCAGTGTGTATTCTACACAACCAACTCACAGCCCCCAGGCATCTGGCTCTACCTTCCCAATTCTTTGCTGCATGAAATGTGTCCTCCCCGACCCATGCTGTGCCTGGTAACCCCCACCTCTCTCACCGTACAGCATTTGCCAAGGGATACTATACCTGGGTATTTAGTAATGGGCTCATGAGGATCAGAGGCTGTCCATAGGCTCCCTGTGTGCCATTTAGGCAGGAGTCCCTTGGCCCAGCAAGGCTGCTGTGATGGGCAGACAGCAAACACACCATATGATGCCTAGCACTTGGTGACTGATTATGCCTGGACTGTTCAGTCAGCCAAGGGCTAATTTTCCTTGCCAGGGAACAGTGCTGGCTCTTCAGTACTCTGCATGCTCCATATCTGTTCCCCAGGACCATGCTAGGGCACTGTGATAATGTTTACCTGAGCTGCCGGCCCAGTTTCTTAAAGAGAAATCCAATGGTAAGGAGACTCAGGGTAGCTGGAGTGGAGAGAACGCAGGCCCGGTAATACTGCAAGTATCTCCTAAGGCCGCTTGTGAAAGCCTGTGGACAAGGAATAGGAGGAGAGCAGGTGGGACACAGACACAGCCATGCACTCAGGACCGAAGATAGAGAAAAGGGCTATGCTCCCATGTCTCTGCCCCAAGGACCCATTTTACAATTTTAGTAAATGTGCTGCTGAAGCAACCCATTTTCCAAGTAAAGAAAAGCCTTGGAAAGGCTTAAGCCTAGCCAAGAGCAAGATGCTTCACAGAAAGCTTAATCTGTGAACTAAGGCTCTGCCACAGATGTATCTCTGCTGGGACCACAGGCAACACAGTAGCACAGCCCTCTTGAATCACATTGAGACAGGGTAGCCGCAGAACAAATCCTATCCAGCTGTCTTGGCCTGTCTTGTCTACATGCCAGGCTGTCAGGAACCACAGTCCCACCTCCCACAGATCCCTCTGACTATACCTGCAGCCTCTGGTCATCTCAGGGCTGCCACTCACTGTTCCTATGCCTGGAAGGTCTCTCCCATGCGGCTAAAAGTCTGAAACCTGATGTGGGGCAGTGCCCTCACCCTTTGCCTGTTGACTCTGCCCCACATGAATCAGAGCTTGAGGGAAGCCATATAGCCCAGCTCCTCCTAGGCTTCGCCCCGTCCTACCCTCTCCCTGACACTCACCCCTGGTTTCTGCACAGCATCCTGCTCATCTGCACACCTGTCTTCACCTACTAAGGATGCAACCAAAGGCCCTGTAGGATTCTACCAGCACACAGCCAGGTACAAGTCTTTCAACAAACAGCAAATCTTGGCTCAGTGGTTAAGAACACTGGTTGTTCTTGCAGAGACCCGGGTTTGAATCCCAGCACCCACATCGCAGCTAACAACTGTAACTCCAGTCCCAGGGGATACGACATACTCTTCTGACCTCTGCAGGCATTCCATGACACGGGTGCACTTACCTAAATGCAGGCAATACATGCATACACATAAAGATTCACAGGTCCTGCCAGGACCTTTTGATTCCCTTTTATGAAGATGGCATGGTTTTCACAAAGGCATACCTGAAACACAAGGCCTCTGCTGCACATGGAGCCTAGAACAGGCTGCAGAGAGAAGTGGCTCAGGCGTGTGTAGTAGGTTCCATACTCTGCTACCTCTGAAAGGATGCTGCTGATACTCTCGGGAGATGCCCCAGACACATGAACACCTCGTTCCACCACAAAGGCTTGAGCTGGCTACAGGGCAGAGAGAGGGTTATAGAGGCCAGGCACCAAGACCCCACTGTGGTGCCATCTGCTTCCACTCACACTGTCATCCATCACATACCCCACATGCAAATACCCACACAAAGAAACACATTTTTTTTTAACTTTTTTATAGAATGTTTGCAGTTTTCATACACTATAATTTGGCAGTATTTAGATCTCCCTACCCTATCCATACCTCCTCCCCCTTTTTTTGGAGACAGGGTCTCCTTGTAGCCCCAGCTGGCCTGGAACTCACTATGTAGACCAGGCTGGCCTCGAACTCAGATCCGCCTGCCTCTGCCTCCCGAGTGCTGGGATTAAAGGCCTGCGCCACCACGCCCAGCACACCTCCCCTTTTATTGCCCCCCCCGCCCAATTTAATGTACACATGTACATACACACATACACACACATAAAATAAGGCCTATAGAGTCTAATTTGTGTTCCCAAATGTCCTTCAGTATGGGTCCATTCACTGGAGCCTGGTTAACCCACTAAGAGTCCCATGCTTGGAAAGAGACTGTCTGCCCTGCCCAGTAGCCATCATCTGTTGCCACAATTTCCATAGGCTGGGCTGAAGTCTCTTACCCACTTCCCCATGTCTATACTGGCTTTTATCTGGTTTGACCTTGCATGGGACTTGTGCATGTTGTCACAACTACTGTCAGTTCATATAACTGACCAGCTGTCTGGAAAACTCTGTTTCCTTGTGGTCATTCTCTACCTCTGGCTCTTACAGTCTTTCCACCCCTCTTCTGCAAAGATTCCTGAGTCTTGGGAAGCAGAGGTTTGATACTGATGTCCTATTCAGGGATAAGCAGTCTACAGTCTCTTATTCTCTGCACATGGGAGGGCAGGGCAGAGGTGGCTCATGCCTTTAATCCCAGCACTCAGAAGGCAAAGGCAGGCGGATCTCTGTGAGTTCAAGGACAGTCTAGTCTACATAGCAAGCTCCAGGCCAGTTGGGGACTTTTTTTAAATCTTGAGGGAAAAAAAAGGTAAGCCAAATATAGTAGTGCATGCTTGTGATCCAAGCACTTAGTAGGCTAATGCAAGAGAATTGAGAGTTCAAGGCCAACCTGGACTACTTAGTGAGACCCAGTCTCAAAAAAAAAAAAAATTAACAATGCTATAAATGCAAAATAAAGCTTTAAAAAAAAAACAAGCACAAAGATCCAGGTGTGGTAGTGAACACGTTTAATTCTAGCACTCGGGAGGCAGAGGCAGGATCTCTATGAAATTGTGGCCAGCCTGGTCTACATAGGGTGTTCCAGGCCAGTTGGGGCTACAGGAGACCCTGTCTCAAAACAAACAAACAAACAAGTACAACTTTGAAGTTATAACATTATTAATCATGATTACATTCAAATAAACAATAAACTTAGGAAATGTGTGTTATCATATACTTTAAAAAAAATAAGCAAGGGGCTGGAGATATGGCCCAGCAGTTAAGTGCACTGGCTGTTCTGCTTACAGAAGACCTGGGTTTGGTTCCCAGCACCCACATGGTCAAAAACTGTCCATAACTCCAGTTTCAGAGGATCTGATGCCCTCTTCTGACCTCTGCAGGCACTACATGACATGAGTGAACACTTACACACATGCAGGCAATTAATACACTGATACTCATAAAATATTTTTTAAAAAGTAAAAAGGGGCCGGGTGTGGTGGCGCACGCCTTTAATCCCAGCACTCGGGAAGCAGAGGCAGGAGGATCTCTGAATTCAAGGACAGCCTGGTCTACAAAGTGAGTTCCAGGCTAGCTGGGGCTAGAGGGAGACCCTGACTATAAAAAGACGACAAAAACAAAAAAAAAAAAAGTAAAAGGGCAAATGCCCTCAAAACATACCCTAATTTAGTTGCACAAACATACAGTCTGAAACAAGTCTGATCTCTCAGACTACACTTAAAACCACAGACAAACAGAACACCTCCACACAATTCAAGACATAAACATGAGCCAGGCGTAGTGGCACATGCTCTTATCCCAACAGAGGCAAGCAATCTCTTTGAGTTCGAGGCCAGCCTGGTCTACATAGTGAGCTCCAAGGCAGCTGAGGCTACAGGGAGACCCTGCCTCAAAAGACCAAAAAATGAAGTAGTAGTAGTAGTACACACGTACACATGAACAGTCTTCTCAGGACAGACAAATATGCCTGCCGCTAGATCTGATGCACTGGCTCTCCAGATCATTTCCAACAGATATAGTCAAAACTTGCTACAGCATGCTCCCCACAATATTATTACAGCCATAGGGATAGAAACAACCTCAGAAGGGGCTCAGTACAACCAAACTGATGAGGTGCAATGAAAGCAGCATTAAGAAGGAAAGTAACAACAGGAAATGCCTGCACGGTAAATGAAACATCAAATCAACAACCATACTGCTTACCTTAAGGACTAGCACGTACCAGGCCCTGGGTTCCATCCCTAGTAACACACACACACAGACACAGACACACACACACACAATGTATGCCAACAAATTAGATAACCCAGAATTAACGGGAAAACTCTTAGAAACAAAGTAACAAAACTGACTCAAGAAAAAAATAGAGGGGATGGCCAGATGGATTGGCTCTTAAGAGCAGTGGCTACTCTTACAGAGGACAAGAATCAATTCCCCACAACCCACATGGAGACTCGAAACCATCTGTAACTCTAGTTGCAGTGGATCCAACACCTTCTCCTGGCCCCCGCAGGCATTGTACACACGGGTGCACTTACATACATGCAGGGTAAACATTCATACACACAAAAAAAGAAAAAATAGAAAATAAAAATATACTTATAAGGAGAACACTGAGCCTGTGATCAAAACTTTCCAACAGGTTGAAGCAGTAAATGCTCTGTTATTCGTGGTTTGCCAGTTTAAGAAAAAAAATAACAACACAGAAACTTGGAACATAGAAAAGTCCTGGACCTAGGGGCTGGAGAGATGGTTCAGAGGTTAAGAACACTAACTGTTCTTGCAGAAGACCCGGGTTCGAATTCCAGCACCCACACAGCAGCTAGCAACTGTCCGTAACTCCAGTTCCAGGGGATCCGACAGCCTCTTCTGTCCTCTGCAGGCACTGTACGACACGGGTGCACATACTTATATGCAGGCATAACACTCTGTACACATAAAATATGTGAGCCAGGCGTGGTGGCGCTCACCTTTAGTCCCAGCACTCAGGAGGCGGAGGCAGAGGCAGGCAGAACTCTCCGTGAGTTCAAGGCCAGCCTGGTCTATATAGTGAGTTCCAGGACAGCTGGGGCTACAGGGAGACCCTGTCTCAAAAAGATAAAAAAAAAAGAAAAGAAAATAGGCTGAGCCAGGCATAGTAGTGCACGCCCAGCACTTGCACTTGGGAGGCAGAGGCAGGTAGATCTTTGTGAGTTCAAAGCCAACCTGGTCTACATAATGAGCATAATGAGTTCTAGGCCAGTTGGGGCTTGTGGTGGTTTGAATGAGAATGTCCCCCATAGGCTCCAAGTATTTGGATATTTTGTCCCCAGATGGTGGTGCTGTTTTGGAAGGTCTTAGGTGTGGCTATCCTGGAGGAAGGACGTCACTGGGGGTGGGCTTAAAGAATTCTTAAGCCTTGCTGGATCTCCAGTTGCTCTCTTGCTTCCCATGTCTGCTTGAAGATGTAGATCCTAGCTTCTGCTCCTCCTCCAGCCACCTCTGCCAACATGCCTCCCCGCCACAATGGACTCTTGCCCCTTCTGGAACCCTAAGCCCAAATAAACTCTTCCTTCTATCAGTTGCTTTGGTCAGTGTTTCTATCACAGCAACAGAAAAGTAACTAATATACGGCTACAGGGAAACCCTGTCCCAAAAAGACAAAAGAAAAGAAAAAGAAAAAGAAAGCAGGCTGAGCATGGGCCAGGGGAGCAAGCCAGTAAGCATCGCTCCTCCATGGCCTGTGCTTCAGCTCCTGCCTCCAGGTTCCTGCCCTGAGTTGCTACCTTGGGCTCTTTGATGAACTGTGCGACCCAGGAGATGTGAGCCAAATAAACCCTTTCCTCCCCAAGTTGGTATTGGTCAGTGTTTTGGCTCAGCAATTGAAAGCAAACTACGACAGTATGTGTGCCTATGTGCAATGAGATGGGGGACACATATGTACAGCATCCATGTGGAGGTCCCAGACAACTTTGTAAAGTTACTTCTCTGCTTCCATACTTACACAGATTTTTTTAAATTATGTATATGTGTGTGTGTGTGTTCATGTGTGGGTTTGTGCACATGAGTGCAGTTCTGTAGTTTCAGACCCCTGTGAGCTGAACCACGTGATGTGGGTGCTGGGAAACAAAATCAGGCTCTCTGCTGAGCTATCTCCCCAGCCCTGTACCTGGCTCTTTTTATTCAATATTTAAAAGGACATTAATAAATCAACACTCTTAGAATCCAAATGGGATGACTGTTTTGTTTTGCAGTACTGGGGATTGAACCTAGGACTTCAAACATGCTACACAAGTTTACCAACACTTTTTTTTTTTTTTTTTTTTTTGAGACAGGGTCTCCCTGTAGCCCCAGCTGGCCTCTTCCTCCCAAGTGTTGGGATTAAAGGTATGTGCCACCATGTCTGGCCCAACACTGATTTATATCCCTAGCCCAACTGTGGCTATCTTTAATGAGCCCACAGAGCAGGCATTCCCTGACACTCACTGTACTGGGCCTCATCCTACCCCTTTCCATGTCGAACATGCTTGGTAAAAGACAAGCTGTCTAACAGAAGGCTGGACCCATAATGGCCGGTGAGCACTTCTCACCTGACAGAGGGAAAATGTGGCAGAAACAACTCCCAGCAGGACATTCAGTGAGTCTTTCACCAGCTCGCTTTCTGTTACCAACAGAGGCTTAGGGGCCTGCAGCAAGCCCTCACTGAGCACCTGTAGCTCTCCATGGCGGAGCCTGCAGAACCTGTCAAAGGCATCCCTCCCTGCCTCAGTGAGGTAGGGCTCATCTCGGTGTCCAGGGGGGCTGTGAGGAAAACAGAAGAGAGGGTGGTGAGCAGATGAGACAGCATGCACCCACCTTAGTGCCAGGCATGCTTTCCCCAGTCATAAATAACAGAATGACAGCTAGCAAACCCTAGAGCATAAAGCCAGGTGTGAATGGATACCAGTCAATTTCTCAGCCCCAGTCAGCATCCACTAAGCTCAGCAATGGCTGCAGTTGAGTCCCTCAGGCAAATACCCTGAGATCCCAAGAGCAGCAGTGTTGGGAGAACAAGGGAAGGTCATGACTCACTCAAAATTCATTCTTTTTGTGTTGCCAGTCCAATGGAGGCAATTCACCAAATGAGTCTCCCTCTCCCCAGGTGTGTCAAGTTGACAACTAAAGCCAGCACACCAGGCTTCCTGATCAGGCTAATGGTCATGTTATATTTTTTTTGTCTTTTTGAGACAGTGTCTCCCTAGAGCCCTAACTGGCCTGAAACTTGCTATGTAGACCAGGCTGGCCTCAATCTGACAGAGATCTGCCTGCCTCTGGCTCCTGAGTACTAGAATTAAAGGCATGCATGACCACACCTGGTCAGTCATGTTGTGTCTTGAAGAAACACCTCCACTACAAGTGTTCAGTGTAGTAGGCATGGTACTCCATGCCTTTAATCCCAGCACTTGGGAGGGGTGGATCTCCATGAGTTCAAGGCCAGCCCGGTCTATATAGCAAGTTCCAAGCCAGCTGGGGCTACAAGGAGACCCTGTCT